GTGCCAAGTATCTAAAAGTCTGGTTACCTGAGGCTGGCTGTTTTCCGCCAGATGCGGAGCAGGGGGGAAAGAGGGTGGCTGCAGCCAGACGTGGAGCAGTGCAGGGTGGATGTTTCAGCCAGATATAGAGCAGCAGCAGCACAGGGTGGTGGGTGGCAGCAGCAGCCGCTGCATGCAAGCTTCCCCCTGCCTCCCCACATCCAGCCAACTGGCCGTAATTAAGAGTATTCCAGTTAGTAAAATGCCGGATAACAGGGCTTTTACTGTAAGTAGAAACTTTGTAATGCCTTTAGTGGGAGATGGACCATGTTCATTACCTACCTCTATTCATTAAAAGCACTGTTGATGGGTACTATGTAAGTTTGTTTTTTCCAAGTAACTGACATGAATTTCTACAACACCAATTTATACATAAATTGGTCCCGTTGTTAACCAACGATAACATTGTGTGTTTTGGCAAATCTGGAAGTTTAAATCTACAGACTAGACGTTCCTGCTTTTTTTGGTACTAAATATGCATACTTACCAATTACAATACCATATATTTCATAATTTATTGTAATGCAATAATGTTATTTAATTGACTGATTTTGCAACTAGGAGTTGACGTAAATCATTCTCTCATCCATGGCAATGTTGCCAACCATGTCATTCAAAAGTATATGCACAAATCAGCTTTAAAACAGTGAACAACAATGGAATTAAAATAAATACTATGTATTACATGAAGGTCTTGTGCACTAACGCTACATATGCTTTGAGTACACATATACATGGGTAAAATGAAATCTGGGCTAAAACATTATGATTAGGAACCTCCCTAAATGGTGGCAGAAATTCATGGTGCAGCAGCACCTTTAATCTTGTTCTTTTCACCATGCTACTCCCTACCCCCGCCAACTGCTGAGTGGCTGAGAGGCAATTAATGCTGTGGTTTTTCCCTCTTGGTCACTCAGCAGCCATGATGGTGGGAGGGGTTTGCAGCAAAAAGAGCAAAATTAAAGGTAAGGTTAAAGGCACTGCTGCACTGTGAACTTCTGCCACAATTTAGATAGGTCACTAGCAGTGATATTTCAGAATAAATGTGTTTGTTAACATTTTGCCCTGGCAACTCAGTTACCCTGATTAGAAATGTATTCCTAGAAAAGAACACATTTATGCAACTCCACTATTATTAGGAAAAAGAAGATATCCAAATGCATTTTAGTGTTTTGCTTATCCCATCAAATGAGTTTATACAGGTGACAAAAAATGAATGTAAGGTTCATATTAAGTGCAACAAGTTAATTTTAATTCCAATTTCTTCCATTCATTCACTCAAAACTTACAGGAATGAAAAAAACTATTGAAATAATGTAATTTAAAGGGATTTTTCTTCTTTTGCAACCTTAGCTCAGAATACGTGGATCTGGATTTTTTTTCTATAATTGTGAACAAGAATTGTGTACAATAAAAATCCCTAGTCAAATTAAAAGAACTCAAAAAGTAAAAACAATGCATTTGCCTGAATATTTGAAAGTACCTATACCAGAGCTTAAATATGATAGTTCCAACAATATAATGATAACTCTAAAAATATGATTCATAGATTCATAGATTAAGGGTCGGAAGGGACCTAGTAGATCTTCTAGCCCGACCCCCCACCAGGGCGGGAGAACAACAAAAAACCCCAAAAAGAGAAATGGGACTCAAACGAGTCCAGCCAGGTAGGCATCCAGCCTCTTCTTAAAGACCCCCAGGGTAGGGGCCAGCACCACTTCCCTTGGAAGTTGGTTCCAGCTCCTAGCCGCCCTAACCGTGAAGTAGTTTTTGCGGATGTCCAATCTATACCTCCTCTCCATCAACTTGTGCCCATTACTCCTTGTTATGCCAGCGGGCGCTAGGGGAAACAGCGTCTCCCCCAAACCCCTCTGGTCCCCCCTAGTGAGTCTATAGACAGTCACCAGGTCCCCCCTTAGCCTTCTCTTGTGGAGGCTGAATAGGTTCAGGTCCCGCAGTCTCTCACTGTAGAGTCTGCCCTGTTGTCCCCGGATCATGCGGGTGGCCCTCCTCTGGACCCTCTCCATATTGTCCACATCCCTCTTGAAATGGGGCGCACAGAACTGGATCAGCTGCAATACTTTTGTTGCAGTATATATAGGACTGGAATGTTTGATCGGGTCACTTTTTAATATTTATTTTTACAGTTCTGATGAGACAGCAGACTAAGACCGAATACATTAGAACACAAATTTTCAGAAAAATGTGCAAGTATGTGTATGACTAATTTGTGTGTGCAAACGGCTAGTTACATGCAATTGGTAACCTATGCACAAATTAGGACTCTGATCCAGCAAACGCATGACTACTTTATGCAAGTAGTTCCATTCTGTGCACCATGCATACATTTTTGCAGGATTGCAGATCTAGGTATGTAATTGCTCATACTTTTGTGAAAATTTAGATCTGCTTGATGTAAAAGGAAAGCTCTATTTCATTCTCTATTCCTCTTCTTGAGTTTATACAAATGAATGTTTTTGTACATGTGAAAAATAATAACGGGGCAATAGAATTATCAAACTAAAGGAAGTTTGATTACAAAACAGAATTTGGTGCATAAGAGTGCAAAAAACTATATATTTATTAAACACTGTGTAAATTAAAACAGCAAATGATTTTTTAAAGTACTCCATGACTAACACCTTATAGAGCAATTTTGTCCAAAAAAGGGAATATAAAAACCAAGTTTGTAATGCAAACACTAACAACCTTATACAAGCAAGGTGCTAGCAGGCACTGCTATTCTATATTATTCACAGAGTAATTAGAACCAAATTCTGATCCTACTTGAAATTAATGCAAATTTATATTTATGTAAATTTGATCAGAATCCAGCTCTAGATGTAAGCCAACTTGACGTCATATTTAGAAGTCAAAAACAACAGAAACCCCTTTTCTATATAAATATATGTCATAAATAAAATACATATAGATAACAAAATATTCATTACAACAGCAGCTCAATGGTCTATTATAGAAGCAAGCACTAAAATAATACCTTGTTAGACAGAATACTTAGGCTGTTTCTTTTGATTGCACAGTAAATCTAAACAGTGCTACAAGAGCCATTTAATAATGCGATACACTTCCTCAATGATTTAAGCATGTCATAAAATCTGTATATCTTTAGCAATGAAAGTCAGTAGAAATTTTTGATGCAAAAAGGAATAAATAAATAAGAATTGTTAAATATCCAATGTTTGGTACAAATGCTTCATATTAAGATAAGTTACTTTTTATATATTTGTTTAGAAAAATACACTAGATATTTCTACTTTCATTGGCTAAAAATAAGGACCAGATAATTTATAACCTTGTGGTTTTAAAGGCAGGCAATATTAATTACCATCAAGCTGTTATAACAACCCACTAGCATGCTTATGCCACAGTCCTTTTATTAGGTAAAATTCCCATTCCAGTGGAACTACGGAGTACACAAGGACTACAAGATCAGGTCCCAGGTTTGTGCAAACAACCAGTTGGTCCATGGCACAAGTTACATTTTCTGCCCAAAATCTGAAACCTTTTTTCCAAGGTTTCTAATCACAGGCTTACTTAAGATATCAATCAGACCTTCACACTTCTTAAAAGAGCTAAATTTACAAATGTAAATGTTTTTCTGTTAAGCCATCATTTGTTCAAAAAACAAAACAAAAAAGAACAGCCACACATTCAAACTGTGAAGTATTAGGAAAATACTCTTGCAAATAAACGATATAAAGATAAAATACACTTTAAAGTTAGTTTTTACATTAATCTATAAAGTGCAGAGAAATCCTTCTAAAAGGGAAAGAACTACTTCCTATAACAATAAAATAATTACAGCAGCTTTTGCATAGCATTACTTAGAGAAAGTTGAGTACTTCAGTTTCTTCAGGAAGAAGAGAATGCAAGAGTCTCTTCCAGTTCAGATTTTTTCATGGACACAGATTTGTTTTCTTCAGGAATAGTTGACACTGCCAAATCCCCATTGAGTGTACTTCTTGAACAGTGAGCAGATCCTATTGAGATATTGATTAGTATTTAAACTGTGACTCAAACAGCTCTGTTCAAACTGCTAGGCACTCTATTTGCTAACGTTTCATATACAACCTAATATATTTTATCCTACTGGATGCAATATTTGCACATTGTCCGTGGAATCTCCTGAATGGTTTTAGTTAATAAGGAATAGGGTAATGGATAAAGAACATTAAAGCTAGTGTAAACTCCAAGAAATCATACCGTGTAATGCACAACCACTGTAAGAGATCTGTCTATGCTGTGGCCAGACAAAGTCAATATAAGAAGCATGTATTAAGTAAGGTGTGGCAATTTATTGTTTGTTAAAAGATTTTTCATTAACAAAATAGAAGCAGGATACGATCATTGCATGAAGATCTGATATTACTGATACATCTTGTTGGAGAAGAGGAAGAACTGAATCAAATGCTGAAAGATGGAGACCTTACACTGGAAAGCATGGATCTCTTTTACTTAACATGATGAAACAACTATCATGGTGCAGATGAGTTAGAAAAAGGAGTTCTCCAATAGAGAACAGAAGTAGACTGATGTTGCTCAAGGCAGCAAGGCTGAGCCTGACCTAGCTGTTCTGAAAGAATCCAGACTGGGTCATCCAGGGAAGGAGAAGCAGATGAGTCACCTAGAGTGGAATTAATTTCCGTGTCAAAAGATATGTATAGTATTGGGTGCTTCAGGAGGTTTTCAGCAATGCAGAGGCTTTGTGCTGATCCAGTATACAGAGAAAAGTTAAACTTCAAGAAAGGAGCTGCAGTATTCTTGGGCCAAGCCAGGACTAAAGGAAAAAGTAGAAGCATTTTTTTGGAGAAGTCCAAATGGAGTCAATCTGATTGGGAGTTCCAAGGGAAAATCCATGAATGGACCTTACTTACCTCTGTGTATGGACTCAATGGTACTATGCTACAGAGAAGCATTATGTTTAGAATACAAGAACACATTACTTTGATTTGCTATTAGCTATGCCACATGGTTTCAGAAAAATAGTATTCTGTGCAAGAGGTGGGTAGATCATTAGCACAAACTGTTTTTTTTCAATACACCAGATCATATTTTAAGTGGCAAATCAGCTACAAGGTAAACCAAATATTATCTTTGATACAGCATGCACAAATCCTACATGCAATTCTTTTGGCCAATAAAGATTGCATGCTTAGATGTACTCCTTTTTTGGGGACCAGTAGTACATTCTGTAATACAAGTATTGTTATAAGTTGTACAGAAGCTGGCACTGCAAAACTGTGCTTCTCTAACTTAGTTTTTTACGATTCAATTATAAAACAGAATTTGGTGCACAAACAATGAGAGTACAAAAAACTAAATATTAATTAAACAACTTACTTTCTGTATCTTCAAGGGGAACATCATTATAGGATTCTGTATCAGAGTATGTTCTTCTGCGTCTTTGTGATAGCCGGTGAACTGAAGAAACTGGTTCTTTTACCGAGTGACTACTCCTGCAACTTAAATAGGATCCATTAGTTCTACAAACTTGAAAACAAAAATATTATTGGGTTTATCTGCTTTTAATTTAAAATAAAGGTCTATAATATGTATGTTCTACTAAACCTGTATCAAAAAGGTAACTTCCATTTTGCTCTATACTGTTAAAAGTAAACTGAATGACCAGAACATAGCTGTTAGCTTGCACAGATTTTAAAGTGTGAAGACTATGGTAAGACTATATTCTTGCATTTAAAAAAAACAAAACAAAACAAACAAAACAAACAAAAAACCACCCCAATTACTCAAAAGAACGAGAGTCAAATGTTTTTCATGACTCAGAAAATCGTATAAATTCTTATAATTTCAAGAACAGAAATCTATCCCTGTGAAAACAACAGGATTACTTTTTTTTTGCATAAAGTTACTTGCATTTATAGGGGTTTACAGTAAGTACACTAGATTATGGATCTCAACCTTCTTTGTA